CCCCCCCCCCCCGCCCCTGCCGCGTACCTCCCAGTATGTGGTAAACTAAATGGCTCACTCCTATCCCTTCCCTCTCTGCGACGCGTGACGGAGGTAAATTCTAAGACTCGTAGCCTGAGCCATTGTCACACCATTGAATCGCTTCTATTCGTCCCCTTTCCCTCGTGTCTCATTTGTACATGTTGGACAGTAGTTAGTCGCACCGAAGGTATTCGTTCCAGGTAGACAAAGGGTGGGTGGGTGGGTGTGGCTAAATTGCACTCCGGACGAGATAAATTGCACTTCAACGGGTACTTCATGGGATCGAAATTCTCTGAAGAAGTTTTGAAAGGACATGGATTGGTCACGAGAGACAAGGGCGGGATTCGAAAAGTTCCAGTGATTGGTTGGTGTCCCTAAAGAATTATAGTAAATCGTTGAACGTTCGTTAACTCTTCTACTCCTACCGAAAAATGTAGCAACTACTTTGCCATCAGCTTTCCGAGGCACATACTGAACTACCCGACGTGTCTACCAACGGGAGGCAGAGCCGCAGCAAACAACGGCAAGCGTAGAGATGTGTGTTCCTGACGCGCAGATCTTCCATGTCATCTTGTACTGCTGCTTCATCGTGCACATGAAAAAGCGATGTTCCATGGAGGCCGCCGAAAGACGTCATCACCGAAACAACTCGGTTGCTGCCGAAAAGTTGAACGCAACCATGACGACGGTATACAAACTACCCTGTCGAGACCTACTCACTACTTGGTGCATGTCCCACACGTGCGTGTTTGTATATAGACTGTGGATATGTACTTCATTCATCAGTTTGCACATGAAAGCCTCTCCCAGCGAGGCTATGAAAATCGATCACTGCCCGCAGCAGACAGAAACCGAGTAATCAGGATGTAGAATCTCCCTACAACCTGTGTTTGACGTAGAGTACCCAAATGAATCTGCCGACAGTGAATTTTCGTTTCTGACTTGACGTTCGCCAACAAAGTCTCGTCCAATGGCTGGCGCTATGATTGATTGGTGCCTCATTCGATGATTTTTAGCTGTGCCGGTGATCGGCTGTGTCAAGCACAAAATACGAGCAACCAGCAGATACTCACATCAATTTGCCCCGACCTCAATCAATCAATTGTCTCTATCCCGTTAAATTAAGGCCCCGTCCAATCTACAACTGGGTGTCTACCTATTCAGTTATTTTGTAGCACCATATCGCCGAGGTTGCTTCGTGGCGATACGGTCACCCTAAATGAGGCTTCCACGTGGTCGTTTTTGTTTTTTCAATTCAGGCGATGCTGTACAGCGGTGCCGTCAGAAGGGAATGGGCGCACCCGATTCGGTCCAACTTCGTTTTCGCACCCCTCTTGGCCTCGATGACGCTTACCGCGGCTGTGCCTCCGAAGGTTGCTCATGGTGAGTGTTAGAGAGTTTTTCCCATTGAACAGCCGCTGTCAAATCTCCATCAGGTAAATCGGGTGCCGCAGAATGATTGTGAGAAGTGTTCGGTCCCATCTTGTTGCCGACGCAGCACCTCGTTGGGTTTCAAGCTTCTTCTTCGCTATGTGGAGATGTGTTCTTGGAATATGCTGGCTAACATAGCCGCCACGGTGCCGCTGAGCTACCGTTGATCGCAAGAGCATCGGGAAGCCCTTCGGACTATACGGTTGGAGGCATGTATCGCTGAAGATTTCTTGGGCATGACCACGGCTTGGCCCGAGTTAGCTCTACCTCAGAGAATCACGTTAAATGTAGGCATGTTCAACATCCGGAAAGCGCGGGGGGGTCTTCGCCCTCCCCCATGCTCCGTTGAGGTTATTGCCGTCCGCGCCCTGCGTAGAGGGTGGAATTGTAACTGTTGTGGAGCATGCCAAGTGGACGGTGCCGAGACTTGTTCCTTGCGTAGAGGAAGAAGGCAAGAAATATGTTGCTCACGGCCAAAGCTGTGCGTTCTTTTCTATTTTGGAACGAGAGCAAGTGTTTGCCCACCATTTGCCGGTGATGATTTTGAAGTTCGTACCAATACGCCACCGCGTAAGCGCCTATCCGTCGCGGGAATGTGAGGATGGGCGTGGGTGGAAGGCACACAACACAGCAAAGCGGTGTGAGTGGTCACAGCTCTCTACGCAAGAACGAAAATAGTTCGATGTACATATGGAGAGATGCACGTCCGGAGTCGGAACAAAATTCTCGTCCATACTAGCGTCGTGGATCCTAAGAGTGAGAGAACACACACTGCAGGTGCCAGCAGGCGATTGCATCTAGCTGCACGGTGCTGTGTAATAACCCGGCTCCCGCTTGAGGTCTCGCGCCCGCGACCGCGGAGTCGCGGCGGAGAGAGCGATCCCCGTCGCCGACGCGAAGAGAGACAAAAGAGAGTCGATGGGGGTCCACGTGCGGGCAAGTCGAAATCGTCTGGGGGCGAGACTTGCCCTCAACACGTCTACTCTGGGACGCGCCCCAAGCTGAATGTTCATTCAGATGGAGCTTACCTCTATATTTGCGAGCGATAGCATGGGGCGGACGGATTATGGATTTGCCCCCAGCAACTGCCGCGGATGGACGCCGAGCCTCCCGCATACATTCACGGTGACAGCCTTGCCAATCTCCGTATTGCTTCGTGGACGTCTTTACCTGGGCTGGCACCAGGAGTTCATACCTCGAGTCATGACGAGCTGGACGGCATTGTGGCGTACACTTCAGGCCTGCAGGCGGTTTCGCTAGTGTAGTCGTCCGAAACACCTCTTTCAGAACAGTACGCGTGGCACGAACGCGTGTCGGATTTCAACAATGTTAGATGAGTACTGTTGCAGTACCTCTTTCTCAGGTATATCCAGTCATCCCGTCGCACTCTGTCAGAGCCGAGGGGTTCGCCCAGAGGACATGCTATCCCTGAGCTCCCCGCGCGTGAGCTAGCATCGTTCTGCAATGCATGGCGCTTGTTTTATCGCAAAAGTAGTCAGGCGAACCTCTTTCTCCTTTCTCCTTCTCGTGAGTCGTTGTGAGTGACGACGCTGTTTTCTGCGTGAGTGATTACTACCTGTTCTCGGACAAGTCTACTGTGGTTTTGTACGCCAAAGGGGACCGTTCTGTGACTACATGAACATCGCTTCATCTTTGCAATAGGGTGCTGTGGAGGGGGCGGGAGGGACTGAGTAGAGCGCACAACGATCGTTTGGTTTTAACAAATTCGACGTCAACGACATCAACAACAACCCTTACCCTTTTGTTAACCTCGCCATTCTGCCGTGACCGCTGCTCAGCACTGCACCCGTCTACGGACGTACCCCTGCCCGCTTTCATGATTCTGAGCGGTCTCGTGCTGTACCTGGAGATGGCGTCGTACGGCAAGTGGCTGTTCAATCAGACTCGCAGCCTCAGCCGGGCGAACCCATCGTATCAACTCGCTGTCGTGGGCAACTTTTTGGTCGCATCGCTAGGCACGCAGGTGTTTTTTTGTTGATTTTTGGGGAAATGCTTTATTTTCTTTGCCAGGTCTTTGTTCTTATTTATTAATATATTTTTGGTTTACTAGAATTCAAGCTAATAAGGCAGCTATTAAAGCGATATTGGTTAAGAGTTGGAGATTTTGGTTTAGCTCTTGGTATTTTTGGAGTCTTTGTATGCTTTGATCTCTTCTCTCTCTCTCTTTTGATTTTGTCATCGTCTCGTTTGTTGCCGCCGCTCTTGCGTGCCAGTAGTGTAGTTGCCGACCCCGCAGTGTCGCCCGGTTCTGATGTGAGTCGACCGTATTGTCTGCGGTTCCTGTCCTTAGATGCGTGAACATGACATGTGTACCACGGTATCCTTCAAAGCCGAAGGGTTGTCAACCCGAGCCAGCCAGAGTGTTGCAGGTCTGAATTTTGCGTACAGCTGTCGACTGAGCGTCCCAGTTGCGTCAGGTGGTGCATGTCCACCTTGTGTAATTTAGTCAAGCGGGATATTTTCAGCATTGTGCCACAATTTCTTCCTCGCCGTTCTCTTGACTCGTGTTTTTGCTTCGGACGAACCGCGCGCAGGTTTCGGGCACAGAGAGCGTCGAGCTAGCCTGCAGGGAAATTTCCCTTTTCTTTTTCGCCGTCGGGTTTCTCTACTTTCTCCTTGTGTTCTTCGCCATCCAGGTAGGCCTTCCAGGGCGTGGCGGTGTTGCCGGGCGTTGGGTTGATGCTCTTACACTTTTGAGGTGTTCTTCTGCGGGAACCTGCATTCAGAATGTACACGGTTGGTAGCTAAGACACTGAGGGCTCGATTTATGGGCACTTTAACCCTTACCAACACTCAAACCAATATATTCCTTGTTGGTTTCCCAATCGATCAAATACCGAGCGAGGGTTTCGCAAGGAGTTTGTAAGTCAATGGTGCATTGTGTATGGGGTACCAACGTCGCCGTCATCCCCGGAGAATGTGTTACTCATTACAGTGGGTGGCCCGATATAGTGCCGGTTGAATAGTGCCGGTTGCCGGTATAGTGCCGGTGTTTTCGGCTCGCACACACCGGAATATCAAGTCTTTCTGTACTCTGAATAGTGCCGGTGCCCGGTATAGTGCCGCTTTGCTCTCTGAACATATACCGGCACTATAGAGGGCCCCCTACTGTAACAACTAGAGGTACGGTAGGGTATGTGTGTTCATCATATAGAAGTACGCTCGGTTATTGTCGGACACTGTGATGCGTTTTTCCTCCGCAACCGCAACCTTTCCCGTTATTTCTGCTCCGACGGGCTGATGAAAACTGATTTTCATAACCTGCCAGAACGTTTATGTAGGGGCCGCGACGAAATTTCGGGATATGCACCTTTCGACCAAAAGCGATACTCCATTCGCTGAGGAGGTGCAACGTCGACTTGCTCCAGAAGAAGATGCAGGGACATGCGCCGTCATCGTACAAAAGCAGTTCGCTGTCGTAGCGGAACGCGACAGTTTTCAGCCCTAAGCTAGGCAGCCTACCAACTTCAACCCCAGGGCAACGGTTGAATATGCAGCGATCAGTTGTTACGCGTGACGGCATAGAGTCAAGGACGGTGTCATCCCCCAGTCGACATGCCTGTGCCACGAAGAAGGGGGTGGCTGGGTTTGGAACGATCTCGTGGCTAGGCTTGGAACGTTGGCCGGAGGGGGGATGTCGATCCCCCCGTTCTTAGTCGACGGCCCCCTTGATTCTCGTCAACAAAGCAAGTGCAGACTACATTGGTGGCAAACGTTCAGAGTGGACCTTATGGAGGGACAACAATACACCTTGCATGGGAGCGGCAGCTGACGTATTGAGGGCCTGTCGACATGTCGAAAACGGTTCGTCACACGACAGAGCTCAACCTCAAGTGTTCCACCACTTTTCGCTGGGGGCGTCCAAAGTGCAAATATCCCCGCACACAAACCAACAATTCGCGAATAACAGCAGCAACAGACCGAGTAACTCGTCGTTGTCGTTCTCACCATTGTTAGCAGGAACATAACGTATTCCTTGTCGTTGGCGTACCCGCCCCAACTTTGACGAAAATACGTCCTGTGCACCGTAGTTGCTCGTATTGGCGTTCATACCAACCCTCGAAGCCCTCTGTAGTGTCAATCGATCGCCGCCGGGAACCTACTGGCCGTGACCAAACCCCGGCGCTCCTTGCTTTCCCGGCTCGTATGAACGCCCCCCTCCGACACAAAACGTTCATAGCACAACTCGGCCGACAACATCGAGCACCCTTCCGGCGCTGCTGCACGGCTCTCGGTGGATCCGACTGCAGATACCTCAACTGACCATCGTGTTGATGGTAAGCACAAACGAGAACGGGAGATCGAGAGGCAGGAGGCTCGCCCGCTACACTGACCTTTTGCGCTGCCATCAGTGCTATGCAGTTTCATGCATAGAGTAGCTGGTGAACAAGAGATTCTCGCTGCGCGACTTCGAGAGAGAAGCACGAAGTAAAGTCTTGCTGGGGCCTTTGGCATGTTGCCCTGATTTGGCCGTAGATGTGAGGTTGACAATCGCTGCTTCGTGTTTTCGTTTCATGCCTTTCAAACAAAGGATTGGTTCAACACAGAGTTACCGAACGGTGGTGGTGAATTTGTGCGCGCGCCCCTGTCGCACTCCGATGTTTTCTGCCGCTGTCACTCACTCTCCAGGAAGAGTCGGCGGAAACGAGGAAACCTTAATGAGCCATCCCACGGGAAGGACAAAAGCCGGGCGGATACACGGCCAGCAGGAACAAGTTCCATACCCTTCTCCACCACATATGCCGGTTTCGGCGGCCATTGTCTCTGGGTGGGGGCGAAAGCCATCCGAGCGCGTCCCACCTGGGAAGGAAAACAAAGAAGGGGAAACGGGGGACAGGAACGGCGTCGGCTCTCCAGAGGGAAAGTCCCGGTACTCTGCCCGGCTGCACGACAACGCGTTCAACGCGACGGTTCCCCCGCTCTCCGGCCTCGAAGACGTGCCGCTGGTCGAGGGTGAGGACGCGACGGCTGTAGCAGAAAGGGGCAGGGCCAACCTCGAGGTCGACAACGAAAACACCGAGGACGCATCAGCCAGGGCCGAGAACCACCTCGGCGCTCGCTCTTCGTGGCCAGTGCCCCCGTTCACAGGGTCCGGGCGAAGCCTTCTATGGCATCCGTCCTCATCGGACATTTCGTCCACCATGCCGTCGCATCCGGTGAGTGCTTTTGAATCGCGGCAGTGTCGATTGGAGACGTCAAAAAAACAAACGCGCAAGCGAAGAACCACCAGCTATGTTGGACTGCAAGCGCAACCAACCCCTGTTGAGGGTGTTCCGTTGTTTCCAGCTAAACAGACGCTCCCCCACAAGGGGTGCGCAGCAACCAAGATCTCGGAGAACCTGGGAGGTGTTAGGTTCAGCAAAGATGTTTTAGCTCGCTGTGGGTGTTGACTTGTGTAGTATCCTCGAGTGAGCGCGCATCATCGGCATGCCAGGAGTTTGTTGGAAATTTCGAGTTGGTTTCACGATTTTTTTTTTCCATCTGCTGCCACGAGTTGTGGTTTTATGAGGAACTTGTTCGTATTGCCCATACTGTAGGATGAATGCGATCTCAGACAGAACTTACTCCCCCGTGGGTTTCCAAGCACCAAAGTGTCCTCGTGGAAGAAGTATGTTATGGATCGGGGATAAGCGAGCAACGCTCGCTCTCAGATTTCATCGCTGAAACGAGTTCAGGGTTCTACTTTGCCTTCCATTCTATCGTAAGGGCAAGCCCTGTTGCTGTTGGTGCATGTACAGCAGTGCCTTGATTTGCCAGCATCTTTGGCAAGGTTCCCGGTATGATCGGGGTGGTGTTGGACGTCTCGCTTGCAACTACAGACGGTTCTCATGTACTACCAAACATGGCGGCCTATCTTGTCCGCAGATTCTTCTCGTTGCTATCGACTTAGTCGTGGAGAGTTATGAGTTGTTCTTTTGCGCTTCTTTCCTTTTTGTGCTGCCTTGGGTTTTGTTGGCTCGTCACAGTGGGAACTCGTTTTTGTTGCATTCAGGCTCACGGGAGAAGAGGTGCTGCGCAAGCCTCAGGGCACATTGTGGTGTGAAGATACGGACGACAACAGCAACAACCTAAAAAGTGTTTCTTATACGCGTGTTGCTTCAGTGTAGGGTGTCGTTTTTTGTTGGGGGTGACGTTGTCCGACCTTCATACTCTCGCCCTTCGCCACCCTTGCCGTCCACACCCAGCAAGGCAAGGGTAGCGGCAGCGGCGACGACGTGAATGCAGCACGCGACCGGAGGGTTTGCAAGCCAGCGCAAGAGACACCTTCCCGACCGCCCACGTTTCGGGGAGAATCCGCCGGAGCGGCCGCTGTTGCCAACGGGAACGCGCCCCAGACAGCCGTCTTCCCTCTTCAGGGGCGTGGTCGCTGCAGCTCGAACAACGTCGGTGTTGCCACAACAGATCGTCAATTAAAGCGGGCAGAAGCGAAGGACGCCGCCGTCTCTCATCGCATGCCCAGGTCCACGTTGGCTCCGCGCGATACCCCCAGCGGAACCCCTAGGAGCATGCTCCTGAGCAGAGCGTTACACCCCATCTATTTTCTGTTCATCGCTCCCCCTTCGGCGGCGGCGATCGCCTGGACGCGAATCAACGGGGAGTTTGACGTGCTGTCCAGGTCCCTGTACTTCATCGCGGGGTTCTTGTACATGTTCTTTGTGCTGGGCAACTCGAGCTTCCTGCGGACGGCCTCGTTTAGCCTCGCCTGGTGGGCGTACTCCTTCCCATGTGAGAGCCGTGGTGGCGGCTAGCAACCCTCCCTCGCGACGAAACGTTAAAAATCAATGTGTTCCGTCGCCTTTCGGGCAGGAAGCACACGTCGCAATGCGACAATCGCTTCAATATATGTTGCGGCATGGTAGGCTCGAGAAGAAGGACAACAAGCGCGTTTCGGGTGTCGGGAAGTTTGGCATGCGCGCAAAGGTTCTGTGCTGTTCCCAATGTAAAGGTCAATGAGTGTGCACCAACATTGTCGACATGTCCTGTCAACGCTCGTCCAGTCGTTCGAAGCGCACCCCGATCTCAAAGACAGATATCTGCCGAGACAAAAGCTCCGAGACCAGCGCGAGGTAGAATGTAGCCTAGACTGACATAACTGCCTTGCGAAGACAGTCCCTTCTTCGCGAGAATTTCCATGGCAGAGAAGTAGAGCTCGCTGGAAGGTGGCCTGGGACAGTCCAGAATTGTTGCCTGGTGGTCGAAGGGTTTTTGTAATACGGTAGCGGATCCGTGGCCAGTGACACTTATTACGAAAGACACGTAAATGGCATGACCCCATCAGCTGAACATATGGTCTCATCAACCGCATGCTTAGTGCACAACAATATTGTGCACTAGTCCAAACCTGTCGTTCTTGCTCCCTTGGAAAGCAGATGTGTGTGTTGCCTGGTACGTTATCGTTTTTTTTTGTTCCTCAGCGGACGACAGCTGCGTCGTCGGGGGGTAAGTGATACTCACGTGGTGTCGAGTGTAATCAGTGTTTTCCCAATGACTGCCGCACGCAAGTTAGCACTCAGTCAGTGGGGGTGAGTCGAACGTCGAACTTGACGCCTCGTTCGTCACAAGTAGAGTTTGGCTATGCCCCCCCCCTTCCTGAACAGGTTTCCTTGCTCTCTCTCGAAGCCCTTCCTGCTGTGAACACCGCCAGTCCTCAAGTTTGTCGACAGACGTAAAGTCGAGACAAAGCCACGTGCCGCCCCGTGGCTACATGGGGTTTGCACTCCGCATCTAGCTTCGTCGTGCTGCGCGTTGTGTAGTCCAACTCATGTACGGCTGCAGAGGACCGCGCGCAACGCGGCCAAGCCGGGGTGCCCTCCTTGCCGAGTTGAACTAGCGTTATACGTTGCCGTTGGCAAGTAAGTGTCGAGAGAGAGGAGGTCTTGGACCGATGAAGCCGATCCCCGGTCTGACTGAGCAGCTCAGAGGGAATAACCTTGACACCGCACTCTTCATACATTTCACGTGGTTGAGTATTCTCGTCTCGCTGCTCCTGAGTTTCGGTCACCTGTTCTTGTGCGCATGATGTTCGTGCTCTATCGACAAGTAACGCTAGTGTTCTCGATTGAGTGTGCGCGCGTCTCGCCACACCTGAAAATTAGGTGATGGCATGTACTCGAATTTCAGACTGCCTTGCCGTCACTTTGTTCTCCTTGATCCCCATGCCTCCCACCCCCGGACGCACGTTCCGCACGTGCCACGGCCCTTGGCTCTTGGTACCGGAAGCGTCCACATTTGCCGTCGCGACGATCCTGTACGCCGAGGAGCTGTCGAGCGAGGGAGTGGTTCTGTTCGCCCTCGTGATGTCTCTGGGATCGACTGTGATAGTGATGGTGGTGGTCGTGTGCACTGTTTCTTCAGCAGCAACAGGATCTCTCTTCGCTCCCGACCCGGTTCTCTCGGTCCTGCTTGAAGAGCTGCCTTAGTTGTTGTTCGGCACGGAACTGCCATTCGCCTGATCCTTTAGACTTTGGCGTCTCATAGAATTACATCTTTGTATTTCTGCTACTACGCTTCCCGAGGAGTCTGAGCGTCAGCCTCTACTTTTATTTGGGGTTTCGTCCCTTGTGTTGTTGTCTACGGATGGCATAGTTTTGGAGTTTTTCGTGGTAATTGTGGCAATCTGGTCGTCGCGGAAGAGATTTTTGGGTTTCGATGACGGTGCAAACCAGCATATACATCGGTATGACTAGGGAGGCGGGACTTGCGAGGCAGCACCACGAGCTGGTAGCTTACGGAATCAGAAATACATCACAGTCAACGAAAAGCCTCCCGTAAAGCTGTGCCAAAGGGGCACGTATAAGTCATAAGAGGTACAGGGTTACGAAGCCTTTGTGTTTGTTTTTTTCATGCCCTTTCTTCGCAGTTAATACGCTTAAGGATGATACCACTGTAGACTTTTGAGTACGAAACAAAACAAAATGTGAAGCGGTCATGTGGCCCGATTGTTCACCTCTGATATACTCGTAGTACCAGGCTTAAGGCCGAGTTGATGCGCACCGTTGTGTAGCATATATGGAGGAACGCAGAGTGAAGTTGAAATGTTGATATTATGAGTATGCCACACGGAGTTCTAACCCTTGCATGTACTTTCTCTGTCCCGTAAGGCTAGTCGGTTATGGGCGACAAGTCGTTCGTGGACTTAGAGGTTGAACCCAACCTTGTTGCAAGATTTGTTGGAAGCTGGCGTGTAGACGATGCTGATGAGAAATTAAAAGTTTTTGCTTGGCTACAAACAAAAGGTCAGATTTAGGACTCTGTTTTGCTCCCGAAAGAAAAGAGTACGGCATGCAGTCAGTTTCACAAGATGGCCACCAAACTGTCTTGTTGGACCTGTTACCCGTATAGGGGATGTCGCCGTGTGCTACTCGGAAAGCCGTAGTTTACAGGTTGTCTCTGCTGATACTATAATATATATTAATTGCGGATCGATCTGAAGACTTTTTTTTTCCTTTGTCACTTCAATTCAGCGCTCACAGCACTCAACTTTTGCCGTTTACTCCAACCGGTCGTTACACACAAGGGTTTGTCTCCTTGAGGTCCCCTACGCACCCTTCCTGCGATATTTTCCTTCGACTTTTAATGCGAGACGAATGCGGCACTCTCTTCCCTCTGTATCCGCATGACTAGCGCTTTCCACCCAGGCCAGGAACTGAAGCGAGAGAACAACTCGCTTTGCAAGAAAAAAAGGTTACGCCGGGATTCAAACCCCTGACCCTGGATAGACATCGTTTGTGTTGTCTAATTAAGAAAAGCATCAAGTATACACTGTAGACCCCTTTTGGTCTCAGTACGCAAAATCCCAAACCCAGCTCCGGCGACGGTAATGCGTGTACCCTACCGTGCAAGAGGATGGGCCGAGTAGCGAGATTCGCCGGTGCCGCGACTGCCACCCTCATCGTCCGATCTCCCCTCTCACAGGCGCTACTACCCCCACCCCTGAAACCTATTATTCACACTCCTAGGCCATTTCTATAGGTACGATCCCGCCCCCGTGACCCCAAGGTGCTTCGTGAGAGCAAAGAAGCTGACTAGGTGAAATCTTTCCCCCCGTCTTCATTCTCAGTAATTAGGCTGTCAGACCCAAAAGACGCGCACCGAAATCTCTCAAAGATATCGGGTGTACTTCAACCTTGACGGCATCAGCAGCTCTCTCCCGCTAGGGTCAACAAGGAGTCGCCGGTCAAACTCAAAGGATGCTCCTGTACAGTTATTCGTACTACCGCCGGCGTGGATGCAACCATGGGCTGGCCACGCTGCACCTTGCAACAGAAGACGAGGGCTCGGTCTTGCGGTGTACTCTATTTCTATTTCCGAGACATGGTGAGTAAAGCCGATATACACCTCGAGTCTCTCTCCACTACTAACTAGCGCGACTCTGTGTCATCCTGCCGTCCTGCGACAGTGTTGGTCGGATGATCACCTGTGGGTGAACCAAGACGACCCTGTGCCACCGCCTCCGCCAACATGGAAAACCCGTGAAAGGCGTGCTGCTGCTGTTGCTGTTCAGTTCGTGAAGGCGGCGAAGGAGTCCAAGAAGGAATATGTGATGGCAGTGATGACGACGATGGCGGCTGAACCCTTCCGTCTCCTCTCAACACGGGTGTCGGACGATCGCCGCTTTCCGAAGAAACCACAGTCATCGTGGAAGCCGATGGAAGTGTCCGTGATCCACCGCCACCCGTTGTGACTTGTCCGGCAGTTCCGAGATAACTGGGATCCGTAGACACATTCCCTCCGCGCACCTGCTCACCTCGGTCCTCAGCTCCATGAAAAAGCGACCGAGACCCACCGACAGAGCTCGAATCCTGACGCTGCAGATAATCCCTACCGGCACCTCCTCCGCGGCCCTCTGAGCGTGCCGATCCGTCACGCTCCTCAGCGTACCGGCGCCAGCCAGCACCAACAACACTACTGCTCGCGCTGCCAAGCACAGCTGGTGGCACCGGCATGATCTCGCCTGAAATCACTCCAGCGCTCGCGGCAGCCCTAGCGCCTTCCGGCACCAGCCCACGGGACCCCCATGACGACGTCGCAGGTACGAGGGTGGATGACGCGACTTGGCCCGCCCCGTCACCAGGAGCGTTGGCAGCTAGCCACGCTGCTGCATCCGCCGCCGCTCCACCCACAGAGCCACCACCACAGCCGTTGCTGCGGTCGGTTGACGGGGGGCAGTCGTCGGGGGGAGGCATGAGCGTGTGAACATCTGCGTCCGCGCCAGTGTCAGTGAAGAGGGGCACAGCAGCAGCAGCAGCAATCGAACCGTCGTCGCCTCTGACACCGCCATCGAAAGGATCGCGAGTACCCCCGATCGCCCCGCCACCCGCCGCACCCCTCCCCTTCATATTCCCGCTCGTAGGCAAGGGCGCTTGGACGCCTACCATGGGATGCCGGACATTTTCTGCTGCCTCGGCTGTGTCCGTGCGGCGCTTATCACTTTCCTGCGCGGGAAACAAGTACCCGAGTTGAAAAACATGCGGAGGAATAGCGCGCGGGGTTGGGATGGAAAGGGTTGTTGAACTCGCACGGAAAGGACTAACCGCAAAAATGAGGCGTCGTCTCCAGCAAAAACCATTCCCGCCACAGAAATAAGTTATCGCGTGAACAAGGTATTTCCACCAACCCATCTCCCTCTAGGTATTCTGTCTCAAATGCCACCAGAAAAGCGACATAATCGTCCCCTGTCCTGTGTTCACCCGCAAACCGCCCGGAAAACGGTTCAACGTTTTAACTTCCAACAATCAAGAACGTCTTCAATACCATTCTAACTTTGATACGTCCGCAAAACCACGCTCAAAATATCCACACGAGTCAGAGTCCAAAACCGGCTTGCCCCATTTCGTGCAGCCTCTTCCTCAGCTGCGGCTCTCGCAGCCGCCGCTCTCATCTCCGCCTCCTTCGCCCTTTCGGCCGCCTTCTCGACCTCTGCGGCGGCCTTCCTCTCGCGGTTGCGCCTCGCCTTCGCCCTTGCCTCCTCCAGCTTCCGCTTGCGCTTGATCGCCTCCTCGTCGTTCTTTTTCTTCTTGATGGCGAGATCCTCCATCATCTTGGGAACCAATTTCCTGGTGTTCCAAGCAAGTAATGTCCGTTGTGAGTGCAGCACTCGGGGTCTCTGGGAAAGACCCCGTCTAGCGTCAAGGGATTTGGCCCGCCTCACACAAGACGCCTGACACTCGTCAGAGTACCAAACAAGTAGCATACTCCTCTTGTTTAACGCGAGCTCTCCTTTCTTGATACACGGCAACCGACTTCACTAATGCCGCGTAATACCGGGACCGGAACCGTTGGCGTAGTAATCAATTTTTCACTCTTCTCCCTTTCCGTTGCCTGCCAGCGTTTTTGGTGCTCAACAACAACACGCTGTTTAACCGGTACCAACTTGCATGGGGACATCTTCCAGCACCTTTGGAACTATATTCCTCGGGCTGTTTGGTCTCGCACCGCCTCCACTTGCATGGTTTCGACGTGAACAAGGGGAGGGATGGACCAAGTTGAAACAGAACATTCTGCATTCGCAGCCGTCCGTTTCTATGGCGACACCTCAACCAAGGCGACGCTGACTACAGTGGCCTGTCACCTGCGCTTCTCCCCCAAATCGTTCTCCGACATGCCAGAAGACCCAAACCTCTTGCGCGCTTCCTTGAGCAACGCCGGCGTGGCGCCCAGCAGACGCGCCAGGGGCCCCGCAAAGCTCTCTTGCCCTCCTCCCCTGCAATTGAATGATTCAGTAACACTCGAAGTATTAACCGGCACGACTATCAAGTATTTTTCAGTCAATGACAGAAACAGACCAAACAAGTGGGAATCGACAAAATGGGGTGCACCCCGAGTGGTTCGCAAACATCACCAACAGGAAGAGGCTGTGCTTGACAATAGTGGCCAATGAAGGTTATTCATGTTAGGGCAATAACGTCAACAGGACCTAAAGTTCACCTCGGAGAACTCCTAGGTCCGCCCGATCCATCCTCGCTCCCGCCTTCGGACGGCCAGGAGTCTTCCCTTTCTGGTATCCACCGTAGCTCGCCAGGTTGGGTGTCCGCCCACAGTTCTGTGCGCCAGGGGCAGGTGTGTGTGTGTGTTTTATTATTATTGTTATTAGCATCGACCGCGCTAACCGGCTGACCAATGAAAAGACGTCAGTCTCAGTGCGGTTGAAAACACAAAACAGCTCTATCTGCCATGAACTGTGTGTGTGTGAGAGGGAGAGAGGGAGAGAGAGGGAGGGAGGGAGGGAGAGAGTCACCGCTGTTTTGCGCCACCAAAACCTGAAGTGCGCGTCACCCATCACAAGCTTGGTTGTGAGATAGGTTATCGCGGAAACATTTGGGTTAGGTACCTGAAACTAACAGATATGGAGAAGTTATGACAGCCAAGAAGGTGAACACGCCTACAAAAGTGCTGGTGCAAAGAAAAAGGGGGAAACGAATAGATATGCCCCATCTACAAGATCGATTTTTGTCTGAGATACTGGATAGAGCCCAGGCACAAATAGTATGAACACATCAACCAAATTACAGCGGCAGCAGCCAAAGCAAAAATAACAACAGCCACAGCAATAACAACCACAACAGCACCAACAACAACAGCGGACCCACGCTCCCTGCTCATCACCCGTGTCCTCGCCGCCCTCCACGTCTACCGGTTCCTCCTTTTCTCCCAACGACGAGTCCTCTTGGGCGACAGCCTCGTGCTGCCAGGGCACCACTACCTCGTGCGCCTGGGTCTTGCTCAACACCTGATAACATCCATGTACTTGGTTCGTTAGTGTTGTTTCGATGTTGATGCTGTTGATGCTGTTGATGCTGTTGGCGGTGGTGATGGCGGTGGACGGTGCCGAGGTTTTACTGCGGATGATGAGCATAGACGGGCGTGGTCGAATGTCATGGTACTGCTGTGTATCCGACTGAATGCTGTATGGCATCGGTCTGTGCGAGGGAGTGTGATATCAGGCATCATGCTGCTGGATGCTTACCTCGCCCCCCGGACCAGTCATCACCACTGTGTCCAGCTCGTCTTCTGCTTCGAGATAATCCTGTCAAAGGTGACCCCACACGAGCAGCCACAGGGATGGACGGCACGGCCGGAAAGAAACAGAAGATCCCAGAGGGAGGTGGGGGCGGGACGAGCGGTAAAGGTTGACACATGAACGGTAAAAGGGGATCGGCGGCTTTCGCCCCCCCGGCTAGTAGATCAATTCCAACATACGCGATACGTGGTACTCCACATATCTGGGGGCCTGTAGCAAGTTGGCTGGAAAAAGTAAAATGGCTGTGTGAAGAAAGCAAGAGGGCGACTCAATTCGTGTCATAATCATCAACATGAAAAATTCAGCGTGTTGCGTCATGATCAAAGGTTAAGAAGAGTGCTCGTGCAGCAAGCAGCAGCACTAGAATACATGCAGCAGCATCATTGATGACACACGCGCACGGGCTGTCAAGTAAAAGGCAAGAGAAAAAAAACAACGATTGTTGCGATTTTCTTGTTAATTCTGCATACACCAACAGAAAGGCTTGACGTGCAAAAACTCGTGACGAACAAAGTGTACACACATGAACAGCTGAACGTGTTTGGTGAGGTCTGAATTTGTTTTCTCGAAGATATGTACGTGTAGAGGATGGTCGTGGTATGTGAGGGACAGAGCGGGAAACCGGCTCACATCTATGTTACAGAAAAACGTCCAGGACGCCCGGACGCGACATACAAATGTCAACATAGCACGACAAAGCTGTATGTCATGTGGCTCAACGCAGATACATACCCGAAGACTGTATCCTAGACGTAGGGTCAGCAGCGCCATGCACGTTCCATGTTTGCTAGGAACGCGCGGCCGCCACCGCCAGAAGTGCGGCCGCCGTTTATTCGTCTTTCATCGTGTGAAAACTGAATACAGTCCGCTGCAGCAGAAAGCTGAATGTGCGCGGAATGTGGCGCTTAGAGCGGGAAATGTACATGCGGAGTGAAGCGTCCAAGTGCGGAGTTGAAAGAGTTGCGAGCGGGCCCGCTGAGAGACAAAATCGTCTCAGATCTGACCTATGAACCGTGCAAGATTGATTGAGGCGTCCGGTACGGTTGGTGGCGCGGTTCGTCCGGTTTCCGCGAGCGGGCGAGGCAGAGGCGGAGTGAACATGTACATAGAAAGCGGGAAAAAAAACGTTCTGTGCGAGCTCCAAACATCCTGCCCAGCCCAGCACCCCGAAGTATTGAATGTACGATAGCCCGGACATGTCCGTACTCCGTACATATTTGCTAATAATATGAGAAGATGTTCGGCATGTGAGACCCGAGGGAGAGACTGGGGTAAAATGCGAATGGATACATTGGGGCGCGGAGGCGGGGGACCAAAGGTTTACACGAGCGGAAGACACAAATCCGGAGAGAGGCAAGCGTAGAATGAAAAGCGGAATCAATGGAAAGTAACACAGCGCTCCAAAGATCCGGAGAGGTGGAAGCGCAGCTCTGTCAAGAGTTTTCGGTTTACTTATGGTCCGTTTTCCGCACCCTCTTGGTTGTGGAGAAATCGAACTGCGGAAGTCTGGGGGGGTGCGATCATTCACACAAAAATGATATGTGCAAGGCAATCAGCGTGTCCATGTCATTGTGCAATAGCCTAAGTCCATAGCGTCATGGAGCACTCTCCTCGTTGAAGATGTTCTCCCGACCCCTAAACGGTTTGAAACTGACGTTTTAGTTCAAAATGCGCGAAAAGCAAAGCCTGTCTAAAAACGTTTGAAAAGGATGGTCCCTTAACGCGGGGGGCTGCCTGCCTGTGTGGAGCGGTCCTTCTTGCTCAGCTTGGGACTACTTCTCATGGACAACTTGGGTGAGCAAAGTCTTGCGCCAGCGCAATCGTTCAAGACCCGCGAATTCACGTGGAAAACACAGAACACCTCACCACGTTGTTGTCGATGAGGACGTAGCCGGACGGGTACCAGGGACCGGGGAAATCTGTTTTGAGCACCTACGCAGAACGAGGGTTTCGAGCCGTGGGGGGGAAGGCATGGGAGTTGGACGCATTAACCGTTTCAGCAGCGCCGGAAACCATGGCAAGACGCACACCCAACCTGGCCAAGCGTGAAAGCGCGGGTGTTGTATGCCGCGGTGTTCTTACGTGGCTCCCTCGATTCGTTGACGTAAGCTTCTTCAATGGAACTAATACCGGCCCCGACTTACGGACATTGCTGCCGTTATATGTATTTTCTTAAGTATTAGTCGATACCAGGCTTCTCCAAATACCTACCTTGTGGATATTATAGTCCAGCGTTTCGAGTCTCTCGTGATGTGTCCTGTACTGCCTACTCTAGGTGGTACAGACCAGCTGTGTAGAGTAGTTCGCTGAACATCGTGAGAGGACAACAACTCAACACACTTCGTAGAACAAAGGACAAACCAATTACAAAACTATGGCTGAGCAACCACGAACAGGGACGAAAATCAACCGTAGGAACACGCAATGCACCTCGGAAAAATTGCGTGTTTCATGCAGTATAGAAAAAGCGAGTCAAATCTTAAGAAACACACAGGGATGCACACACTGCCTCCTTATCCATGCTCTTCCACGGCTCCCTCTTGGGCGAGCCCCGACTCCAACGCACTCTTCAATTATTGTTACCCACAGATTGGCGACTTGTCGACTGTCAGCCGGGAAAGTGCGAGATTCAAGTCCACGTTGATAACATACACACCAAACACATCATGACATCAGTCAGTATACACGTAAGTTGTTCGAGCCGCTGATATGATTTTGTGGAACTCGTTACCTCGGAGCCGGCTGTTGATGCACGCGGTAATTGTGGGGTGGGAGGGGACTGCCAAAACCTAACCTCGAAAATCCCGAAAGCACAACGTCAGACCCAAAATCTGAAACTTGAAACTCACACGTAATAACCTGTAGAAAACAGGCAACGGCGGAGGGTTTGCTAGCAAACAAGCGCTACCTGCACGCACCTCTTCCTTGAAGTAGACCTCGCCTGTAGGGCACAGAAACATCAGCAAGGGGCGCCATGGGGAACACGCTAGGGCGAGGACCCCCTCTCGGCGGGGCGTGTCTATGCGCTCGGGCTGCCCCCCTCCCAGACCGAAGAAGAAGAGATCTGTTTTGTCGTCTCGGGTCTGACGAGGGGGTTCGCGCCAGTGAGTACAGTAGCGGGAGTTCCTGAATCAGTTGTTTGGTCGTTGACAACTGAACCCCTCGAGGGGGAGTCACCTTCAGATTCTGCCGACGGGAACATCACCAGACAGGGAAACAAGCAGACACCAAGCAGCACCGGGGGCGCATAAAAAAACAACAAAACGGCACCATCACCTGCATCCCAATGGACATAAAAAACAAACAAGCAACAAGAACGGCACCATAACCTGCAGGCCAATGCACATTAAAAAAAAAAACAAGAACGGCACTATAACCTGCAGGCCAATGCACATAAAAAAAAAAAAAGGCTGCTCACCCTTGAGGGATTGCCAACGATGGTCAGGCGTCGCTTCCGACTGCCGTCGTGTCCTCTGCCGTGGATAACGCCCAAAGTCGCCGCTCCCCAGTAACGGGCTTTGGCCCCCCGTGGCCCCAAGCTTCACATAGTGCATGTACACGTTTGATTATCCAACCATTGTTTAGGGGGATGATGTATCTTGGGGAAAGTATTGGAGGAGCGTGATAAGCGACAGGTCTATTCCTATCCAGCTTGCCGGGGGCCCGTGTTCGCCGGTGTGACAAATCCCCTGCGGAGCAACTATGAAGCGTTCGAATGCCGTCTAGGACAAGAAGTACCGGCGGTGCAATACACAGTGTCGGTGGAAAGATCTCATTCAAGAGCTTTTCAAACACGTATCCGAAACGCAATTGGCACCCTCTCGGCAACAATCAAGGTTTGGAGCTTGGCCCAACATGTTGGTGACATCACGACGGAACACGGTGGTAAATCGGGCAATGGTCAACGATGGCGTGCCGACGCTAAACGCAACACCGAAAAAGATTGAGCCCGGTCCAAGTTGATCTCTCGCCGCGTTCCCCACTTGCCGAGAACACGACCATTCAGGGTAAGTTAACTCGACAGCGATGTGGCCCAAGACAGGCGATCATTCGAGCACGTCAGGTGTGACCATTTCCGGTAAATGTTACAAGAGGGGTTAAAGGACAGCCACACTAGAACGACGAATAAGCCACGGGCGAAAACAAGTTGCTGTATTTTGACCGTGGACACGAAAACCCTCTTGAGCCTCGTTTCAACGCTCAGTTGCTGCACTGAAAGTAAGAGGGGGTGCCGCTGCTCAGTGAAACGCATTGCGAAAGCTCCCGAAAAAGATCTTTCAAACGACACCTTTTTCGGGGGCGACATGCGGTGGAACATCAAGTTTTGAAAATCGGCCCGGCAAATTAGGATGTCACGTCCAACACGGTGGTGCACACGTGCAAAACAACAGGATGAATTTCACCGAGTAGATACCACCTGTGATTTCGCGACCACGACCAAGCGGCCACGGTAGAGAAACAGCAAAATCCAGCGGAACACGTCAGCAGGTAATACTCTACCTGGTTCCCGGTCATCATTATCAAACACACACATAGGCGCCGGCGCCACCAGCACCATCAGCAACAACAACAACGACGAAGACGACAACACCACGTACTTTTCTCCGAACGGCTCTGCCTTCACGAGGTCCAGGTCCTCCGTGGGCACCAGGCACAAGCCTCTCGTGGCCGTAGCGATGAGCACCTTGTCTCCATCGGGCGCGAGCTTTTACGATGATGCACGTTCACATATTGGATGGAACAAGGTCAGAACAAGTTAGGGTCAGGGCTAGGGTTAGGGGTAGGGGTAGGGAAAATACTGAGGAACAAAAACCAGGCGGACAAACGAGCGACCCAAACAAGCCTCAGACGCGTGCGCGGGATCGGGGGTCACCCAACTCGTCAGGCGGAGACATGAAAAAACGCACATCTGCAGAAAAGGGTATGAGTACCGTTGTTTGAGGTTTTGGGAGAGGGTTATCGTAACCCTTTTACCCAATGATCTTCTCTTTGATTGTTCGTAGTTGACCTGTTGATTGTTCGTAGTTAACCCGATTCGGGTAGGCGTCCGCGTCAACTGGACTGGTAAGGATGTTTGAAGGTACCTAACAGGGATCGGAACGAATGTTTAACGTGAATATAACAACAACAACAACAACAACAACAACAACGAAACGGCGAAACGAGACGGCGTCTGAGAGCCCACACCCGGGGCGGGAGAAACGGCCGGGTCATGTCTACGTGTTTGCACTCTAGAACTTGTCCAGAAGGTGCCGAACCGTCAACGCAATATTCATCTGGGGGCGAAATATTGTAAACGCATGCTGAACCATAGACCTCGCCTCCCTACAATGCCGGGACGGAGCGATATGCCGGGTTTTCGTCGGCCCAGGCTACGTTCCACAAGGATGAACCAGAAGCTGGACAACATCCTTGCGTTGGCCGTGCCAAACCGGATACGTCATGGGTCGATTGGGCATCCCGGCTAAGCAAATGTTTCGCATTCGGTAGGCATGACAATACTTCACGTACCGCTAGGGACTTCGATCTTTGCACGCTTGTACAAAACAGGCGCGCCACGCACAACGAAAGCGTCGCTTCGTGTTTGATGTCTTCGGAGAAAAATCTGCTCGCTCATGTACTTCAGGTGGAAAAATCCCGATAGAGAAGTTCATCAGATGGTTGCTCTAGGATGTTCAAACTATCCAGTCTTGGTGCCGTATAATACGCCCTACATCGATACTAAACGAGAAAATTCCGATGCCGTTCTTGTGCCAGAACCACCATCGTCGAAATAGTAGAGCAGCATCTCGTGCTAGGGAAAAGGAGGGTTCTAATCACGAGCTGTGTTCACCCCATGCACCGATCACGTTATGTGTACGGAATTCGACAACTTGAAGTTTCAAGCTGAACCTGGTCAGGGAGACTACCACGCCTATGGCATGGGGGTCCCGCGGCACAAGGATGGCCAGAAGGAGAGCGTGAGGTCGTCCCTGCCGTGCGACCGGGTATCGAGAGCGGCTGGTTTCAATCTAGGCGTCATGCATGTCGTCACCTGCAGGGTGGCGGGAGAAGCGCCCCCTTGCGGATCTGCCCTAGCAAGCAGCGACAGTGAACCGTCGGATTGGGTCTTGATCTTGAGCAGGTTGCCTGCGCATCAAAACGAAACACGAAAGACGAAGCAGCGAAGGGTGCTGATGTCCGTCATGCCTGCCTGAAGGAGAGACCTGGCCTTCGATTCTGTGTTGCTCTCACGTTGCGAACGAACCGTGGGACTACACCTGCCCTGCGACAACTTGGGGTCCAAGGCAACCTGGGACCGGATGACCGTGTTGCCGGTGATGGCAATCGTTTAATCGAAGCGGGTTGCTTCTTTTGACACAAACACTACAGTCGTTGTCGCAGGGCAGGTTTAGGGAAGCGGAACAGTAGGAGCGACAGCGGTGCTACAGTACCGTTCAGGCTTGGGCGCTAACGTCGCGCTCCTCCCTAACCTTGCTGCAACCATAGGCTTTGCTTTCGTGCGTCCAATTCCAGTTGTATCCATTCCTCCCCCGCCCGTTCGTTAACGTATCAATCTGCAAGTTTGGTCCCGGAAAATGTCGCACACTGCCGAGGGATAATTGTCTGCCGTTTACAGGGCACGCGGTACTACCGCACGTTGCAACTGTGTGTGTGTGTGTTTTCGTCCTATTTACTATGGCGACAGTCCCCCCATTTTTCGTGGTGAGACGTGTACTACACTTTTCAGCGCATGTAGAGTACTACACTTTTCAGTGTTTTTTTTTCGTACAACTACAACATCCAGGGTCACACAGGCGGGGGTAAACACCAGGGCTTTTTTCGTCTTTATATCTCTTGTCATGCCCCACCTTCCTCCTGCAGTGCGTGCTGAATTTTTATTTTTATCGCGAGAAGGGTCCAGCCACCCCTTTCCCTCGTCAACGGTGCTAACGTTGAAGTTTGGTACTCACGAGAGCTTGTCAGCTATGTTTCGCTTTCACCCGCACATTTACAAAATTTTTCACCCCATGGGATTCGATCTCACGACCTCTGCGACTAGCGGATTACGAGGATACCACTAGACCACCGGGACGACCGGACTGTATGTCGCGTGATTGCACCGGCCTCACAAAGTGCGATCGGGCTTTTTCATGCGGCCAATACCAGGGCCATTGCTGTTCTCCCCTCCGAACAGAGGAATAAACACAAGACCCTGGAGGGTGCACTGTTTTCGAAGTGAAAACAGAGCTTGGAGGCGACACAACACGAGGGTGGTGACGGAACGAGGTGGGAACAAATATAAGAACGGAAAGAGGTCCAACACTCCCACTTGCGTACCCTACTCATCTCTGTCGGACGTCGTTCGTTGCTCGTCTGCTGGAAAGAAGCGCATCTTGCTACTGCTTGATTATCTCCCTCTTCGCCCCCATGCGTATCATCAACGTCCTGTTGATGCGGGATTCCAACCGGTGCTCACCCACTAACATCAGTACCACCATCTTATGTTCAGACACATATTAACGGGGAGTCCCGTATGGTTTGTAGGTTTTGGGTGCGGTATCGGAAGTGCCGCAGACCCCGCAGAAGTATATGGTAGGGTTTCTAAAGTGTTGCAGAATTCACAGAAGCATCGGGTGCGGGTAGATACCTGAAAAAAATAACGCCAATGCGCTTCTTTAGGCTGTACAGAACATGCTCTTTAGAAATATAATACTACCTCCTTTGGGCCAGCCTGTGATCGGGATCTCGTTGGCTTGTCGTGCAAGGGAAGGATATACAGCAGGTAGAACTCAGGACGAGGTTAGGTGGTTCAGTAAAACAGCGGGGACGGGCATTACCAACAACAACGACATCATTGAGAGCAGCAACAGCAACAGCGAGCAACTTCAGGCTCCACGCCCCACCTTCGTGATTGAGCAGAAAAAACGTCTCCCCGTCGTCGCACCAAGCCACCCTCCCAGCCTGAATAGCCGCTCGGTTCACCGCTCTATTTGCACTGCTTCCGCTGCTTGTACCGCCAGACACACTGCTGAACGCAGTGCCCCCAACATATGATGGCGACGGCAGCGGCGGTGATGATGACGACGAGAGGTGGGCTTCTTTGCGCGCGGCATCCGTTTCTACTTCTCCCTTGCCACCCCGCACGCTACTGCCTGATCTAGACATTGAGTCGCTGCCGGAAATTACTTTGCTTGAGCTTGATATGGAGCCGTCCACAGATTCGCCGCTGATGCTGCCGCTGCCGCTGGTAGCGCTGCGTTCGCAGACGATGGAAGCAGCAGCTGTGATCGCTGTGGTGGTGGCCGAGAATAGCTCCTCCACCCGTTGGACAGCAGGGTCCCAAATCTTGCGGAGTTTCGCGACACCCACTCTGCCGACGGTGTTGCCCCTGTTGTGCCCGACCGACACATGCCCATCAGCCGGCGCTCCTCCTCCCACCCCGGCACCCGTACCCGTCTCCGCTGATGACACCGCTTCTACCTCCGCCGCACAACCGCTGGAACTCTTAGTGTCTTCGGCATAACAACTGCCTGTGCTGCCAGTGTTGTTGCTGCTAACGTTGGTGCGAGCTTCGCTTTCACCCCTAGCTTCTTTTTCGTCCTCAACGTCCATGGCACCATCGTCAGCATCGTCCATTTCGCCGTTTCCAGCGACAGTAACGGCAGCGCGGCCGTATGCCCGGGACACACCTCCAGTCCCTTCTGAAATCGTCGTCCCCTCCGCTCCCGGCGACTTCGCTCTCGCATCGCTGGTACAGTCATCTTCGTCCACCTCCTGTGGCTTCTGATCCTGCTGCTGCTGCTGCTGCTGTTGCTCTTCCCCTTCACCCTCTCCAAAGGACGACCCCACCCCCGGGGTTTGGACTGGCGTGGCAGCGTCGTCCTGGGTGCCGCAGTTTGTAGCCGTGGCGAGGGCTGTGGCCGTCGCATTTGCTGTAGTGGCTGCAGAAGGAAAATCGGCGAGAAAAGAACTCCCGTCGGCGCAGCATACGCTTCCACAGCGAGGGTTGGACGGCGAGAGGGAGGCGTGCACGATGCGGGAAGGCAGTCGCAGGCATCCCTCCACCTGATGTGTAACCAAAGGGCAGACGAAGAGCAGACGGCAACGGCAACACCTAGATTGGGTCGAGACGGTTACTAAGAACTTCCTAGAGGTGTAGGGACGTAGGAAATACATCACGGTGAGAGCACGGGCACTGTTTCGTTTCGCTGCTATTTTTATGGCTGTGTTGAGTGCTTTCACAACGTGTTGTAGTGGAAGCTGTGCAATGTCGAACGTCGAATGAAAAATCACGACGACAACATGGTCACCGGACCTAAAAAGCCAAGTGCAAACAAGTCAACCAACAGCAAGCGGTATCGAAGAATGCATATAACTGGAATCGGCGGGTCCATCGACTGTATGGGATTGCCTTGCTCGCGCGAGCATGCTCACACGGGTATGGTAGACCCTTGGTGTAATGTTGCACAGAGCAACAATAACAAATTCGCGACAGGGGCGACAGCAAGCGCCACAAGCACAACGGTGTCTCTGCCAACAACGAAAATCACGACAACCACCGACCCTGACATCGACACGACCACAACCAGAACCAACACCAAAAGCATCATCGGCACGACCGCCACAGCAACAAAAAAAATTATCGGGTCCGACGACAGGCCCGGTTTACCTCTTCCTCCACAATGTCCCACAGCAAGACCAGGCCCGGCAAGAGCACTTCCTCCCCGTCTGGCCAAGTCTTCCTCTTCTGGACGTACGCCGCTACCATGTATCGCGAGCATCTGCGACAGAACAAATGGTCGTCACAAAAATCGCAACTCGAAACAAACATAACACAAATCGCACCGCACGTATCCCCAACGATCGAAGGAGCAAGCAGAGGACCAAACTGCAAATCGCCCGAGCAAGAGAAGTACCGCGATTGTCCAAAAATAGAAGCGAAATGCGAGTCTCCAGCACGACCTACGCAAGGTCTGGAGGCGTTTCCTTTTGCCGCGTGTTACCTGGTGCTGGGGTGCCGTCCAATCGCAACGTGTATGACGTGGATAGCGGTGTCGTTTGGTGGGCAAGAGTGACGATGGATGCGCTCGAACGTCTGAGTGACTTATCTACGCCACACCTAGAGGGTAGACAACCAACAGCAGCAGGCGGGCCTGCGGCAACTAGAGGGCGACCCACAGCAGTACCGGGTACAGGCCATACGCATTGATGTTATTGTATTAACCTCCACAAACGCGAGCGGGCCTCTAACCTCATGACCAAACACAAAATGCCGCCACGCACCACCCGCAGCATTCACCTTGACCAACCGACGCTCGTCGTAGACCACCCGTGGTCCACGTCCTCCCTGTCTTTGGCCGCCGCCCTCGCTCCTGACTTCTCGGAGGCGACGGCGGCGGCGGGGGTGGTAACGGCGCTGTCGGCGGACAGGGTCGCTGGCGGGAATATCTTGTCGAGAAGGTCGTGGCTAAGTTCGAGCGACTTGACGTACATCCGTATCGGCACAAAGCTCCAGAGGTCGACTCGACCGGCCTCATCACCCACAGCGAAGTGGGTCCCGCGGCGGTTGAACTGGCAGGTGAGGGGAGCGGCGTCGTTCTCGTGCTGCGTTGGCGGGGAAAACCAATTGGCCGGCGAGGGTGGACGATGGGAGTGGGCTGGTGGCCGTGGGCCGGGTGCATGGGAGGGCGCCTTTCTTACCTTCAAGTTATGAAACCCTGACAATGCATCCCTTTCTAGGACGGAGCACTCTTCCTACCCTTGGTAACACGTCACCAACAACCGGGCGGCGCTCTACGCTTGAGCGGCCAGACGCTTGAGCAGCCAGAACAAGGTACTCGGTGGTGGTGGCCAATCAGCGTGAGGCCTTGGGGTCAATGCCCGCGTGAAATGCCTTTTGCGCCGAACCATGTCTTACCCGGATCATACTGCTGGCAGTTGTATACGGTTCTCTGTCGTCAGCCCTCTATTGTTCCGATCGTCTCCCCGTCTAGCTAGATACGAGCGTCGCTCGCTGTGCCTTCCGCTGGTACGATCATGCTCTCCTCTGCCGCGGAGTTTCATCGATAGGGTCCGCATCCCCAACCCTAGCCTTCGCACAAAATATCAAAATATGCAGCTTTTCGATCTACCACATATTCGGACTTAGTCCCAAATAGGTTCACACCATTGAGGGAGCTAGGCGCGAGCCTTGTCCTTCAAGATCCTTCTGTCCGAATCAGTACCTCATTCATGTCGGGAACTACAAAAGGCCTCCACGTCAGTTGGACCAACGCACATGTTAGAATGTATCGGGCAGAGATCGGAACGTTTTTCATCGTCAAAACAAGAGCAACAATGAACGGCAAGTATCTCTGTTTCCTGTTCAAACAGGGCTGGCAACTGAAGAGTGGGAGGGCCGGTGCTCCTGACTTCCTCCAACGTTGTCTTTTGCATGACTGCGCCGGGAAAGATTGAACGATATTATCTTCTTCCATCTCCATTGCTTAAAAGAAACTTCAGTTTCACGCCACGCCTTCTCCCCAGACCGGATGGGATCACACAGTGCCATCACCTCCCATGGTCGGTGTGCCAACTCCCTCCTATGCAACAACAACAATCGGGTGCCCCACGTTACTGAGCCTCCCCGAACCGCCAACTTAGGGAGAAAGTCCTCATGAATTTCGATTGAACTCACCGGGTTCTCCAGCACTTGCCAGTCGTTCGCAGGGTCGAGGACGTCCATGTAGCTGACCTTGCTCGCCACGACTCCAGCCGTGCGTGAAAAGACCACCTGCTCCTCTCCCGGGGCGACGGGCTCAGCCGCACAAGGCCCCATCTTTACACAGGGCAAAAGCCACAGGCACAACGTGGTCTTGAGTGCCAAAAAGAAAGCCGATAGATATCGTCGGCGGTGTTTGTTCCGAGCTCGCTCTTTTTTATATGTTTCATCAGGCTCGAGAACGAAGGTGGGGAGGGACTTCCACGACGTGCAAGATGTGAGGCACGACGGGTGTATCACAATCATATCAGACCCTCGGAAAAACTCGAAAAGAGCGCCAAATAGAGAAATCAGCCGACAGAGTCGATCAGCTCCTCAAACAACGACTACATCGAACTTCTACGAGAGTTATTCCTCACAAGTGGGCCGGCACTGAGACCAAAATGGGAAAAAGCACAGGATGCTGTGGTGGTTGTGTTGGTCGCAAGCAAAAAACATTAGGAGGCTGCTACCGTTGATGTTATTCAGTTCGAACGCAACATGACTCCACCCCCTCGAACATCTCCCCGCGTGACCGCAACCGCACCCGACTGTGATTTTGGGTCGATCAGCCGAAGAGTTATGTTTTTGGACCGTGTGGTCGACGTTAGGGAAAGTAAAGTGTAAGCGTGAGCACGTGAAGGAGCGAGAGCGTCAATGCGCGAAAAACAGTGGGAATAATCATCTTGCTCTCTCTGCAAGGGCCGGTCGCCCTGACACGGAGCGAACTCGAACTTCTGCTGCAGTCCGGTTTGTACCGTAGGTGACAGAATATACCACACCCCCTCACGTCGATTTCTACATCTCCCATCACTCCGATACGAAAATGAGGTATGACTCAGACCGGACATCTTCGGAAAGCTCTCGACAAGACAGTTCCAACACCGCCATTTTTGGCTCCGCCGCTCCTTGTGGTGTGGAGAATAGACTTTTGAAAATCAGACCAGGGGGTGTGGTATATTACGTCACCTATTGTATGTAGTCTAGACAACTGCGAAACCTTGAGTTCATCGTCGGGAGCTACACCCCTGCCCGTCTGCCTCCTCTGCACAAGCATCTGGACGGCGCTCTTGTCCGACTCTGTTTTCGGTCAGGCTCTGCTTCTCTCTCGTGTGATGATGGAAGATGAAACGATGTCCCTGACTTGTGTGGGCTTGGTGAATCGTAAGAGGATGTCCCTGACTTGTGTTGGCTTGGTGAATCGTACGGAGACCCGCGGGAGGGATGGAGAACACACATGACAAAAGTAAAGCGACCAGTCAAAATAGCGACCCGCACCGGCGAAACAAGAGTTGGGAGTCAGGGAGAGAGGGAGCTCGAAGAGGGAGTTCGTCACGACCCAGAGGCCGCCCCGAAGAACGGCATTTTCGACAAGATTTTACACCTGCGACCTTTGTTGTGTGTGGTCAACCGAGCACATCACACGACGCTTCACGAACCGCCTCCATTACATGAGCCACTTGAGTAGCCTTCACGACCCCGGGCCTTCAACCTAGACTACGTGCGTATGAGGGAAGAGGTGGCGTCGGCGGTCACACGCATTCACACAGGGGCTGATTCGCCGTCACCGTGTGCTTGACGCGTTCGAAGATCGGAGCGCACAGTACCATCTGAATCTTTCTCGTAGGTGTCCAAACTCTCTTTACAAGGGCTTGTTCCGAAAATGGAAAATGGAAAATGGCTCAAAAATTGCGGACCGAATCCGTAGTGTAAGCACCAAGAGAGGTACAGCTGTTACAGTAGATGCTCACCCCGTAATATTTTGTTCCAACTTTCAAAAAGGGAGCGCGCGTCGCGTCTCTTTTGCACGCAGCCCTTTTTTCCACATAATGTCACTACGAACGACTAACAACAGCAGATGTGTGTCATCCACTCTTGTTGTGATGCGTTGGTTAGTGTGTTGAACGTGACGAAATGGTGCGTTTCGGACCGATCCATATTCGATAGAAGGGGCCTATAATAGCGGCTTTCGCCGTCCCGCTCAACAGATCGATTTCAAGATACGGGTTCAGTGGTATGCAACTCAACATTCGTGGCAGAAAAAATTGAACAAAATACTGAAAAACGGAAGAAAAATTGATCGGTGCAGAACAGACAGGCGTACCGTAGGTGACACAAGACACCACACGCGTGTGATGACATCTTTGAAGGTCCAAAATTTATCACACGGGTGTGGTGCTCTGTAGGGGGGCGTGATATCTTGTATGACCCGTGCGCGAAACTGCTCTCAGAGAACTCCATCCACCCCGCAGGGGGTGTGATAACAGGGCTGTGTGAAAAAAAGGGGGTGTGATAATGTCACCCATGGGATGAACTGCGCCTATATGACCCACCCACAGGGGGTGTGGTAACAAGGGGGTGTGGTAAAGATGGGGTGTGAAAATGTCACCCCCTGAAAGAAGTTCGCCCACACGACCCAACCTACAGCATGTGCGATAACGAGGGGTGTGATTATCATGGGGTTTGACAAAGTTACACTTATCATGAAGCGCTCCCACAAGATTTCTGGGTTGCGGGTGGTGTCGTGCGGTAGTCAGCAGCACGGGCGGTGCCAGGCACAGCAGGTGTTGTTGCGGAAATATCAGCAGGAGTAGGTTCTGCTGCGCGGACCTCAGCAGCACGGGCGGCGCCAGGCACAGCAGGTGTTGTTGGGGAAGTGTCAGCAGCAGGTTCTGCTGCATGGGCCTCGGCAGCACGGGCGGGGGCAGGCACACCGGGTACTGCGGGAGCCTCAGGCGCCACAGAAAAATATGACGTCATTGGGCGCGGCGCTGCCGCTGGAGTCTGGGCCGCGATGCTTTGAGCAGTGTTGTGTGCTTCGTTAATCTCCGCGGTGTTGTCGGTCGCCATAGCTGGAGTGCAGGGTTGCGGCGTGTGCTACATGCGTGATCACGGCCTACCACACCGGTGTGATAGGGGGCTCCGTAACATATAATTGCGGCTCGACTTAGGGGGTGTGGTATCTTCTGTGACCGTGTGATAAATCGATGCTTTCTTTCAGGACGCAAAATATCCTCACACGGGTGTGGTTTTCTGCGCAATTTCGTTAGGGGTGTGGTATCTTGTGTGGGTGTGGTATTTCGTGTCATCTACGGTACTCATTTCGTATCAAACAGCACTTGCATCCGACAATACATCAATATGGAATAGATGAGCGGAGAGTGGTAGTGCTGGCGGCCGCCCCTTTCAAAAGACCTCGACCTGACTGCCAGAAGTGCACCCGGCGCCTACGCGCGTGATTCATCACGTACCATCACTGCGTTGATTTCTCTTGACCTGCGGACCCCTCGGGGCTAGCGTACTTGAGCGTACCTTTTTAGGGTAAGTTAGCTTGTGACCACGGGAATCGACCGCGTCAAGTGTTGGATCAGTACGGAGATATGAAGGTACTGGGTAGAGAGAGATTGGAACGGTTTAAAATGTGAAGACAACAACAACAATCACTGAGACTGCTGTAGATATCCGAACTGCAAAGTTCAAAGTGCGGAGTGCGGAGTTGAAATATGATTGCTCGGCCACAACTATGTATGGACTGGTGCGCCAAACGTACTTGAGCCGCACACCTGACATAAGCGGCCCCGGCGAGAGGAAAAGGGCTGAGCAACAAAACCGACCAAATCGTTCGAGATACTGTCATTGTGTGTGGGGTCGACTGCCGCTGTTGTCGTGAACAGGGGGTACAGCAGTAGCGTCCGCGTCATAAACGGAATTAGAACGGACCGAGCGGCGACCGGAATGGTTCAGGTGAAGAAGAACAACAACAACAGCAACAACAGCAACAACAGCAGCAACAACAACAACAAAGGACCAGCTTAATGCTAACGTAGTTTGGTGATACCTCGAACGGGTGCTGCTGCAGCCTACAGCACCGTCTGTGTTGCGTGTGGGTAACTCTTCCAACATTCAACCATGGATGGTGGGTGACCAGCAACCTGATACCGACACCCGAACAGACTTCGATTGAGAATACGGCTGTGCAGCATGGAGTTCTCCAAGATTTCCTCGCCTTCATTAAGAGCCATGGTGGGGTCTCCGACGCACACTGGACTATTCAGAAGTGGTGCTTGGTGCGTCGTGTGCGAATGAGACCTACATAGCAATCCAGCACACGCAGTAAGTTACGCCGCCTGTCAAGCTGGTGACCTACATCACATACCCATGGGCTTACCTTGCTCGTGCTTTCTCTTCGACTACTCTCACGTAGGGCCATCTGAGCAAAATTCACTCCCCTCAAGCTCGTGTGCGCAGGCTGAGTGTCCGGGCGTGCTGTGCTTCGCCAGGCGGGCGGTTGGGTTCAAAGACTCACGACTTTGGCGTTTGGGTCACCGGATTGGGCGGCCGGACGTAGAGTCTCCGCAGAATTGAGCTTGCAGACTGTGTAGGGTGACCGTGCCGCACGCCGCACAGCTCAGGACCCATAGGAGGTACGGAGGTAGGGCTAGGCGGGGACGTATTATATAAATTTTCGCACCAAGCGCGAAAAAAATTGAAGAGGCGTTTTCCCGGTCGGGCTGTTTTTTGGCTGTTTATTTCCACTCCCCCCGATCCACTGTTTTGGGCATATGTCCTTGAAATGTGAGCCGATTTCGAATGGTTTCTTGCACTGCATTCCCAGGCACGTCTAGCATACCGTCCAACTTAATATTTTTGTTGAAACAAGGCAGATGGTGCCGGAAAAAAACACACACACGTTTTTACAAACATGAAAAACACACATTTTTCCCCGCTGGCACTGACGTCTTTAATTGGTCAGCCGGTTAGCGCGGTCGATGNTGGTTTCTTGCACTGCATTCCCAGGCACGTCTAGCATACCGTCCAACTTAATATTTTTGTTGAAACAAGGCAGATGGTGCCGGAAAAAAACACACACACGTTTTTACAAACATGAAAAACACACATTTTTCCCCGCTGGCACTGACGTCTTTAATTGGTCAGCCGGTTAGCGCGGTCGATGCTAATAATAATAAAAGCACACACATAGTTTAGCCTCCCCCATGCTGCCCCCTCACGGGGTCCCAGTTCATGGTGGATAGAAGTGTTTTTTGTTTTCAACCGCACTAAGACTGACGTCTTTTCATTGGTCAGCCGGTTAGCGCGGTCGATGCTAATAATAGAAACACACACACACACGCATGCACACATCGCCTGGGCAGCCGTGGTGTATCTGATGTCTCAATCGTGGGCCATTTGTTAATTTCCATTACCATCCGAAATTCTGGGTGACTGCCGTGCACTCTTAACTGACCGAACGGCCTTTCGAACCGGTAGGCAAATATTTACTTTTTTTACATATGTCCAGCAGCTCTTCTCGACCCGGCAGTACAGGCTATCACCATCCTCCACGTGTGCGTATGAGCCCTTGCATACATCGCACGGGCAGGGCAGAAACGTTCTCTTTCTTTGCTTAGGGTTCCAGACTTTGTCCGACTCTGGACGCCGCAAGCTCTGGTCCACTAAACATTTTCTCGCCGGTTCAAGGTCGGGCTGGGGCGCTGAACCTCTCGCCTTATGCCCACGGCGATTCCCAGGGTGTTCAGCAGGGTATGCACCCTTGTGGTGTCCGCATTCGGTGCAGGCCCTGAACTGCGGCAACGCTGCCCGGGCCGCCCCCGCCGCCCCCACCCCAGGCCCAGCCAAGATCGGCGACCCCTCTACCGGGCCACCTCCTGCCCCGGAGCGTCCTATAACCACGGCATGCCCGCTGCCTGCTCCCGGAAAGACCTTGTAGCTTGGCAGAACTTTGCCAGTGACGGAGGGCGGCCTCCACGGTGGCGTCGGACATCACGTGACCTACCGCCACGCAGGCGGAATGGCTGGCGTTGTAGAGGCGCACCTGTAGTACGCGCAGAGGGCAAAAGAACGAGGGCAAGCGTTGTTGCTTGGGTTTCAGCACAAATTTGGAACCTGCCATGATCTGTTGTTGTCGGTCCACATCAAAGTACGGCCGGTACCACAATGCGTCGGCGCTCACCTTCAAGCCGATAGCCGGGTCGAATGGTGAAGAAGGCACGGACGTGATCGGGTCCTTGTTCTTGTGGATGGCCTCGTACAAGAGTGCCGAGGCAACGACGTCCCTGATGGCGTAGTCTCGCTGTTCAACCGAGAGTTGAGCGCTCCCCCAACGGGAGCATCGGACGGTATCCTTCGGCAGCTGCCTCCCCAGGAGGCACGCCGTCAAGCCGGCGAGTGTTCGAGACGATGTCACCACCAACTTGGAANGACGGTATCCTTCGGCAGCTGCCTCCCCAGGAGGCACGCCGTCAAGCTGGCGAGTGTTCGAGACGGTGTCACCACCATCTTGGAAACGGCGAGGACACGCAAGCCCACCGTGCTCGCCATTTTCACGTCATAGTCGTTGAGCATATGCGTGGCATCCGTGTCGATGGCAACACCAGCCTGCACAGAGGAAACATCGAGTCGCCGAGTCGGCGTTCAAATAGTATCATGAGGAAGACGCTCACAAGACGGATGCTAAAATACGCCGTACCAACCTTT